GCTAATGTTCTGTTATAATTCTTGGCTAATTTTGATTTCAATCCAAAAGGAAAAGAAGTAGAACATCTGATCAGCAACATACATGAATTCCAAACAATTCCCTTATTGTTCCAATGAGATCATTAAAACACAACCTAAAAGACTACGAATTCTACCACGAATCATCGAAGATTTCATGTTCTTGTTCGTGCAATTGAACACAAGCATACATTGATAAATACACAACACAACCTTTAAAAAGTGCGAATTCTACCACGAATCATCGACGATTTCATGTTCTTGATCGTGCAATTGAACACAAGCAAGCATTGATACATACAAAAACACAGATACATAAACATAAGAACACGTTAAAAGAACAGAACAAAATCTTACCGGAATTCTGTCAGGGTATTTCTCCCTGATCCTTCCAGCCTCAGCTTTTCTCTTCTCTGCAAAATCAAAATCATCTCAAAGAATCACACACACATACACAGATATGAACACCAATTATACTGATTCCAGATATAACATAATCGAATCAGTGAAGAAAAAAACACTAACCGAAATCGTTATCCATCTTAAAGCTGCTTCCTTTACTCATACTTGTTCCTGAATCCTGAGAATTTATACAAAAGGAACCAAATTCACAATCTGGGGAACAAAAACCAACTTCAGACACAAAACCCTAAAAAAATATTCCCAAATCTAAATCTAAAATCAGGGTCTTTACGGAAAATTTTGTTCCTTCTTATTATGGAGAAATCGAACAGAGTTATGTAACAGAGAAATCAATTTGATGAACTTACAGAGAGAGAATTTGATGAGAATGGATAAGGATAAAACTCTCGAGGAAGAAGAAGAAGAACACAAACAAAGTCGCAAAACAAAACCTTTTTCTATTTCTTCTATGATTGGATAACGATAAACTGCGATGGTCACGCCAATATATATACACCTACTGTATATATGTATTCGCTGACGTGTTAAGTAATTAGACACGTCAGCTTAACTTGTTCTCCAAACCAAATCGTTAGCTTGTTGACTATAAACATAATTTTTCTTTCATTTATTTATAAAACCTGTAGGGGGGATTGTTTAAAAGGAAATAGCTACACCAAGTATTGATTAATATATTGAAAAAACTATTCTAAATATAAAAATGTGTTCTGAACTATACAGACTATTATGTAATACATGGTGATATACACTAAATATATGTAAACATGTTAAAAACTACAAATTAAATCTTTTTGATAAATATTTATCGATTTAGAGGTCAATCGTAATTATTTTTATTAAAAAATAATTAAAAATCCAAAAAGATTTAAAACTTACAAAATTTAACAAATCAAAATAAAATCCATAAAATTTCAAAATTTAAGGAAAAAAATAACAATAAAATTCTAGATAAAAATTGAAATTATAGTTTTTTTTTTGTCAAAAAAATATAGTTTTGTGTAGGATTCTTCGAAAAAGCGCGGGCTGAAATAAATTTATAAAAACCAAAAATTTCTAAAATTAATAAAATTAAAAAAACAACAAAATAATTCCAAAAAAATAAATTTTCAAAAACACATAA